ACAGACGGACATGGCTAAATCGACTCAGCTCGGCGTTCTGATCATTTAAGTATACATTTTAATGGGTCTATCTCTTCTTATTCTGGTACTTACAAACATCGGAAAGGTATAGAAATCAACGCGATTTTTCAGCAACTTAAAATTTGTATATTGTTATATTAAAATTAAATGAGCTATAAAACTGCATACCAGAAAAATCCGAGTAAAAAGTTTAAAATTTTAATGAAAATTCGTTAAATTTTCCTTAATATTGTATACAGTTTGAAACTTTGATTTATATACTTTTGTTTGTAGTATGAAACATATTTTTGTACAAAAATAGCAAACAAATTGCAGTTTGCAAAACATTGTGAATATTTAAAAAAACAAGGGTGTACGCAGATATAATTGAGCGAGCGTATGTCTGTTGGTTTTTGGTTTCAACTTAAAAATTACATTCTATAAAGTGCAGTGCAAAGTATGCATACATAAGCAATAACTCTTTAGAAGGCTTCTAATCATAAAGGTTAACTTATGACGAAAATACGCCAGTGGTGGAAAGATGGCTCTAAATTAGTTTAAGCAAGATGATAGTGCAGCGACCGCAATGTACAAGCCAGATGAATAACAGACTAACCTAATATTCACGCACGCCGCCAATTTACTGTCAAAAATTTCTCATGCACATACAACTTGTATGGGACCAACCGAAATTGAACGGCGTGCGTATCCCTGCAAAAATCGTTGGACCATGTAGTCTATTTGTGGTATATTGGAGTACTTACAAAAGTGCTCCTCTGTCATGCTGTAGCCGACCAACTCGTGTCTCTGCACCAGCTTATTGTTACCCGATCACTGCTCGTGTTTTTACGAAATGTGATTGAAGTTAAGCATTTGAAAGTACATTTGCATGTCTGGCTGTAGCTGAACGTGTATAGATGCTAGCTGTTAGTTCTTAGCTCCTAGCATGTTCGGGTTCGAATGTCGTCAGAGTCAACATGTAATTTTTAATTTTTGTTTTTGGTTTTTATTAATTTCAAAAAAAGGATCTGCGAAGTGAAGAACAAAAGCGTGTACAAACGAAAAAATATAACGACAATGGAGTATGTTGGGAGTAGTTTTGTGCTACTCTGATGTAATGCAGAGATGGAGTATATGGTCCTGCCCTAGGACATCGCAATGTTAATTGGACCATATTTTTTATATGAATTGTGGTTAATTTTGGAGTACTCCTTGGTCCTCCGGGTGTACTCTTTACATGCATGCATGGAGTAGTCGCGATTTTTGCAGGGATGAAGCTAACTCAATTTCCAATTTTTGTTCTGCGTGACATTTTGATTTGACGTTTGCTCAATGAAATCAAATGCAAACGCACGCAAGCCAATTTCGGGTGACGCAAAAAAACAAATTCGACGGCGTGCGTACCAAAACGCAAGCCGCGAATATTAGGTTAGCCTGTAAGGGAACACCAAGCAGTCGTAAACCTGTGAAATAATTCCATTTATATTTGCGTCAACTGGTATTGCAACAGTACTTACGTGTGGAGCAGCAGAAGAAACATACGATGCAGTGGTCCTACAGAAAGAGAAGCGGAAGACACGCAGTGGCGATGTGAGTCACACGGCCACGAAAAGTTAAAAAAATGCTGTTAAGAGGCAGCCGATCAAGTTGGTGGAATGCACGGGCACACAAAACGGCAAAACACCTTTGGAATAGTTTTATTTATAGTTTCCTTATCGGCTATACATAAAATACTTACGATTTGAGGAATTCTTTTCCCAAAAAAAAACGTTAAATGCGGAAATTTTTTTTTATCTAACAAAAATTAATTTTAACTCCGATTGTCAACGAAACAGGGATAAAAAGAAAGACTAAAAAGTTGATCAGTGATGCCAATGTTTGTCGATCTATGCTTTTGCTTGTGTGAGTACCATTTTTAGTACTTTTTCATGAAAATCGCTCTGATATAAAAAGTACTTTGTCAAAGCGGCAAATTAAAATTTCTAAGGGAGTTCAAGATGGCGATTAGAGCGAGAAAAACGCGAACGTTATACGTTCAAGTACAAGTACAAGTATGGAATCCTATGCCCCTTTTTGTCTACTCTCTTTCTAACAGCGGACGTGCCTGCCAAACTGAAAAGCATGATGGCGGCAGTGTTTGACAGGCACCTTCGACGATGCGTACGGCAATGGAAGGTAAGAAATGGAAGATGGATGACATGACAATGAAAGAATTATGAAATAGCAGAATGTCGAACCAAAACGAATTTCAAAAATCTGACAATGCGAATGACGTCAAAATGAAAGAAATGCAAAATACCGAAATGCCGAAACAGAAGAAATAGATGACAGGCACGTGTTCAAGGGTTTCGTGCAACAAATGGAGTTGTTGTGTTGCGCCATTCAATATTAAAAAAAAGTAATGTGGTTGAATACGCTTTTTTATTAAGTTGAAAAATTACATATTTCGCCGGCCAAAATTGTATAAATAAATATATAGCATATTGCTATAAGATGTATTTATAAAAAGGGTAGGGTGGGCTTTAGATTGCTAACCCCGGAGTTCAGCATTAAGGAAAATATGGGAGGTAGATGGGGGTCTAATAGTTCCCTGTATGAAGTTTCAAAGCGCGCAACTTTATAGTTTTTAAGTAATTTGTTATTAAAGTTTGTAATTTTCACCAACTTGTATTGGACTATTTCACAATATATAATGCACTTTCCACTAAATTTACACGTTATTTACACTCAATATATGCGCAGTTAGAGTGTGCACGTTCAACCAAATAAATACTTTTAGTATATTACAGCTTTTTTATAAAAAACTAGCAGACCCGGCGAACTTCGTCCCGCCCAAAATTAATTTTTTTAATGAAAAAATTGGACCAACGTTCGCCAGCAATTCACTTTCACGTTTGGTTTTGTGGTCGACAGAAGGCATATCCTCCATTGCCGTCTTAAATAATCTGACGAAAACGTTATACCGGGAAGAAGTCCTTGCGGCTCGATTGTGAATCGTCCTTGAATCTGTATAGTATAGTTGGTGGCAATTTCCAAACTGGTGAGTATCATTGGTCCACATTCTGTTTAGTCAACGTAAAGCAAGGACCGCAATGGTTCTGATGGTTGATTTAACGCGGGTAATTTGACTTTGATCTCTGATATTCCGAATTGACGATTTTTAGCAATAACTCGGCTCCAGCGCCACCTTGCGCATCGTTTTTTGCAATAGTATTGCCCCTATCGTTACCAATACATATATGTCTCGAATATGAGTCAAATCGGATCAGAAATAGGATTTTGAGTAATAAGTCTACTCTAGCGCCACCTGGCGTTTTAAGTTGTGAACTTAAACTATAGGTGAACCTACTCAAACACATAAAAGATGTCATTAAAATCGTTTCGGTCGTTTAGGAGGAGTCCACCCACCAGAATAAGTCTTTTTCATACTGACACTCTTCGGCATTTTTCCCATACAAAAAAACTCTTACGCATTCGTTATATGGAGAAAATGCGCAACATCATCAGCGAAAAAAATCTTAAAAATCAACGGTAACTTGCACTTTATGATACAAAATTAAGTGAACTACAAAACTGCTTACCCAAAAGCAAAATGAACTATATTTCTATAAAAAATAAACAAAAAAATATATTACGAAAAAGAAAAAAACACTGTATTCTGGGTGTATGCATATATTTACGGATAGATAAAAGTTTCAGTATGTTTGGGAAGCGCCACGCCCCCATTTCCAGTAGCCCCAAAATCACTATACCAATTTCCAGGACACTATTACAAATATTTCCGAGATATACGCTATGAAAAATTCGATATGTATGGGTGATAACACTCTCCCTTAATATATAGAAAGTCTGCAGTAGGTTTCTAAATTTCGATACAGCCTTTGACGACATCACCTCTTATAAAAAGAAGGAGCTTCTCTTCATATAATTAGTGTCGGTAACACAAGGCAACACCGATTTCGACGCGCAAATGTTAAAGCTGTTTTTGATAGACTGTTTTGTGCTGATTACGAATTCGTAAGTATAAAGTTTCCATCAGCTCAAAATTTTGAGAAAAACGTGGTGAAAGTGAAAAAAATCGCGTTTTTTGCAATATTTGAGAAGATCTAGCAAGGAAA